TGGTGCACGGGCGTGGTGCAGGGCGTGGTGCATGAGCCATGGTGCACGGGGCGTGGTGCAGGGCGTGGTGCACGGGCGTGGTGCACGGGCGTGGTGCACGGGCGTGGTGCAGGGCGTGGTGCATGGGCGTGGTGCACGGGGCGTGGTGCACGGGGCGTGGTGCAGGGCGTGGTGCCTGAGCCTGACCCGTCGCCTCCCTGCCCCCCTGCTGGCAGCTGGAGCAGGAGCGGGACCAGCTGCGGGAGCAGCAGAAGGCGCTGGAGCAGGAGCTGGAGCTCTTGCAGACGGCGTGCGGGGGCCTGCGGCAGGCCTGCGGGCACCTGGAGAAGCAGCTACAGGGCCAGGCGGCCCGGTTCCAGCAGCAGTGGGACCAGCTGCAGGAGCAGATGGGCCAGGTGAGGTGTCCGCAGGGCTTTTGGCTCCCACTCCCACCCAGCAGGGCCGCCCCGTCTCTCCGGGGTGTGGAAGGCCACGGGTCACCTTTAGAAGTCACGCTGGCTCAGGACGTCAGCACCAGTGCTGTCTGCCAGCAAGGCTGACCGCCAACCAACGTGGCTAGATTCAGAGCCCGCCTTGACACTGGCCTCCCAGCGGTGGGGGGTAGGAGACAGGGGGAGGGATAAGCAGAGAACGGTATGTGGGGCCTGTCCCAGTGCCCCCGTCAGAGGATCGAAGGCCTCCGCCCCATGACTTCCACACACTCGGGGGTCAGGCGCTTCACTGCTTCCTCCTTTGTCCTGTTTCTCACCTCCCTGGACCACCTCCGTACTCGCTGTTCCCTCGTTGGCTCATGCGTTCATTCTCCGACCTTCCCTGGACCCCGGCCTTCGGAGGAGGGCAGGCTCCGTGGGGAGTGGCCCTGGAACACTTTGCTTTCCTCCAGTCCCGGCCTGTTGCCCCACGTGGAACCCTGTGCCTGCAGTCTTGCCCCGCCCCCCGGCAGCGTTGGGGCCCCCTGCTCTGGGACTCAGCTTGGAGTCCTCCACTTCTCGGGCTTCGTCTGGTCCCTTTCCCTCCTCCCTTCATTGCATGTGATTCACACTCAGGAGCCAGCGTGCTGTTCCACGAGTTGCGACCACTGCGTGCACCACATGGCCGGCACCCATGGGGACGGGGACTGTCTCCCCGGGGCCTCGGGGCTGCCCCGCCCCCCATGCACAGGCTTCACCTGTCCGAGAACTTCTGGTAAAGGGAGCCAGAGAGTCAGGGCCATTTTGTGCCCACCCACTCTCTCAGCATGATGCTGGTGGGCGTCATCATGCCGTAGGCAGCAAGAGCTCGGGGCTTTTGACTGCATAGTAACTGCATGGTAACATTTCGTGTACAAATAAACCACATTCGCTTTCCCATTTCCTTGCTGCTGGACATTTGGGTTGTGATGCACAAGACGGTCCTGGACACTGGTGTGCAAGTCGCGTCCATGTATAGTGAGGGAAATCGTGGCCATTTGGTAGGTGTGCGTTGAATTTAATAAGAAACTGGCAAGTGATTTTCCAAAGTGATTGTGTTAGTTTATCTACTGCCAGGAGCCGGTGGGGGGCGGGGGGGGTGCGGCTTTCAGCGGCTCCTCAGCCTGGTCCACATTTGGCCTCATCCACTTTTACTTTTTAATTCCTCTGTGTGTGTGAAGTTATATACCATTGTGGTTTTAATTTGCATTTCCTGGATAGCAAATGATCTTGAGCACATTTTAATGAGCTCATTGGAAATTTGCATACCTTATTTTGTCAAGTGTCAGTTCAAATCTTTTGCCCACTTTTATTGGGTGTTTGTATTTTGGTTATGGACATCTAGGAATTCTTCGTGTATCTTGAACATGAGGGCTTTGTCAGACGGATGTACTTAGAATAGTTTACTCACCTTTGTGACTTGCCTATATATTTTCTTACTTTTGTTTTTGGTGGACAGAGAATTTTAACTTTGGTAAAATTCAATTTGCCAAGTTTGAAAAAATGTATGGTTAGGATTTCCTAGATACTGTCTGAGACATTTTTTGTGTAGCCCAAGGACAAGCAAATACCCTCCTGTGTTTTCACCTAACTCTTACAGATAGGTCTGTGATCATTGCAGGTTGATTTTTCTGGATGGCAGTGGTTCTCAAAGTGTGTTCCCTAGGCCAGCAGCAGCAGCACCTGGGAACTAGTTAGAAACGCAGATTCTCAAAACGCCCCGCTCAAAACCCACTAAATCAGGAACTGCAGGATGGGTGGCAGAAATCTGGATTTTAAGGAGCCCTCCAGGTGATTCTGATGCCCCAAAATGTGTGAACCACAGGTGTGTTGTGTGAAGTAAGAACTGAAGCCCGTTATTTTTCATACAAATGTCCAGCTGTCCCAGCACCGATTTTTAAAGACTGTCCTTTCTCTCCTGAATTACCTTAGCGACTTGTTGAAAGTAAATTGAACATATATATGCATATATGTGCACAGATCAGATTGTTGATCTGTGCAAATCAATCTGCTCATTCTTTCCCCAAAACCACACTGTCTTGGTTACTGTAGCTTCTCAGTAAGTCTTGAAATTAAGTAGCATGAGTCCTCCAATCTTCTTTTTCTTTCTTTTTTTTAAAGGTTTTATTTATTTATTTGAGAGAGAGAGATAGCAAGAAAGAGTACAGTCGGGGTGAGGGGTAGAGGGAGAAGCAGAATCCCCGCTGAGGAGGGAGCCCGACGCAGGGCTCGATCCCAAGACCCCAAGATCATGACCCGAGCCAAAGGCAGACACTTAACTGACTAAGTCACCCAGGCATGGCTTTATTCTTCTTTTTCAAAATGGTTTTGACTGTTCTAAATTTTTTACATATCCATGTACATTTCACAATGAGCTTATGAATTTCTGTCATTCCCCCCACCCCCAAAAGCTTGCTAGAACCTCGGTTGAGATTGTGTTGACTTTATAGGTCAATTTCAGAAGCCTGGACACCTTAGCGTCATCGCAGTGTCCCTCCGTGAAGCTGTGGTATATCTCTTAATTCTCTCAGCTGTGTTTTGTGCTCAGTGTAAAAGTCTTGCCCATTTGATTAAATTGATTCTTAAATTTGATATTGTGAATTGCCTTGCTGTTTTATTTTCCTAGTGTTCATTATTAGTGTAGAGAAGTACAGTCTCATCTATGAACTTTGAGTCACGTGACCTTGCCAAGCTCACTCGTGAGCTCCAGGGTTTTCCATGTTCATAGTCATGGCCTCTGTGAAAAGCAACAGTTTTCTTTCCAATCTTGGTGACTCTTACGTGTTCTTCTCTTGATGCACGTTAAGGAGCCTTAGAACAAAGTTGTAAAGACTGTGAGAGTGGCTATCCTTCCCCCCGACCCCGGGAAGGAATTTAGTGTTTTGCTTCTGTACGACGTTATCGATGGGCCTTTCCTGGATGCCCCTCATCACACTGAGGATGTTCCTTTCATTCCTAGCGTGTTGAGAGGGGTCCTGGTCGTTTTTATCATGGATGGGTTTTGAATTTTTTCAAATGTTTTTTCTTTATCAAGATGATCACGTCATTGTTCTTCTTCTTGTTAATGGGATGAATTATATTGGTTAATTTTTTAATGTTTCACCAACTTTGCATACCCGAGATAAACCTTACTTGGTCATAGGTTAATAGCCTTTTTATTTATTTTTGGATTCAATGTTTTGTGAAGGATTTTTGCATTTATATTCATGAAGACTAGCAGTCTGTGATTTACTTTTCTCATCATGTTTTTGTCAGATTTGGACCCAGGGCCTCATAAAATCAGTTGGGAAATTTATTTATTTCCTGAAAGCATTTTAACATTGATGTTATTTCTTCCCTAAATGTTGGTAGAATTCACTAGTGAAGTCATTTCAGTCCGGAGTTTCCCTTGTGAGAAGTGTTTTGATAATGAGTTCAATTTCTTAAACATGGAGGCTCCTCAGGGTTCCTGTCGCCTCATGTCTCTGTTCTGCGCACTGATGACTTCGCTTGTTACGCTTCATTACCCTGCAGATCAAGCTATTTTCTCATTCTCCGTGTGACTTCTTTTCTGACCTGTGGGTTATTGATGTACATTGCCTAACCTCAAACATATGGATTTTCTAAGTACCTATTTGTTACCTATTTTTAATATAATTCCATTGTGCTCAGAAAACATACTCCAGGGGACACTTGGGTGGCTCAGTTGGTGAAGCGTCTGCCTTCGGCTCAGATCACGATCCCGGGGTCCTGGGATCGAGCCCCACATGGGGCTCCCTGCTCCACGGGGAGTCTGCTTCTCCCTCTGCCACTCACCCCGATTGTGCTATCTCTTGCCGTCTCTCTCTTTCTCAAATAAATAAATGAAATCTTTAAAAAAGAAAAAAGAAAATAATAAAAAAAGAAAACCTACTCCATGCTATTGGAATGGATCTAAGGGCATGTTTTATGGCTTATAGGAGCTCACGTGAGAAGAGTACGCAATGGTATAATGGGGGCATGTAAGGTCTATAAACATCAGTTCCAACATGGTTGAAATCTTCCATGTCCTTACTGGCTCTTTGTCTGTCTGTCTTACTTGTTTTATTTATTGGTTTTACTTGGCTGGTTGTGTTTGTCTACTTGTTCTAACAATTAGTGCTGGAAGGGCATTAAAATCTCTATCTGTGATTGCGGAATTGTCTATTTCAAACTTTAGTCCTGTCCTTTTTTGCCTCATGTTTTGAATTCCTATTGTTAGGTGCACACACATTTAGTATTTTATGTCTTCATGATGCATGGACTTCTCATCATCATAAAGTGTCCCCTCTCCTTTCCAGTGACACTCTTTTCCTTGGTATCTAGTGATAGTGATAGAGACACACTAATTTTCTCATGCTTAGTGTTTTCACTGTATATCCTTCAATAGATTTAGATCACTCTAAAATACATTTAGAGTGTATTTCTTGTAAAAAGCATATGGTTGGGTCTTTCTTTTATGTTTACTCTGACAGTCTACTTGGTAATTGGAGTGTTTGTACCATTTACATTTAATGTAACCGTTGATATGCTTGGTTTATTCTGCCATTTCGGTACTTGTTTTCTATTTGTCTCATTAAAAACACATTTTTATGGGCGCCTGGTGGCTCAGTCATTAAGCGTCTGCCTTCGGCTCAGGTCATGATCCTGGGGTCCTGGGATCGAGCCCCGCATCAGGCTCCCTGCTCAGCAGGAAGCCTGCTTCTCCCTCTCCCACTCTCCCTGCTTGTGTTCCCTCTCTCGCTGTGTCTCTCTCTGTCAAATAAATAAATAAAATCTTCAAAAAAAACCACCACATTTTTAAATTCCTTGTTTCTGACCTTGTTTTGGGTTAGTTGTATATTTATGTAGTATTCCACTTTATGTTCTCTATTGGTATTTCTAAGCTATACTTCTTTTCCTTATTATTTTAGTAATTACTCTAAAATTATGATATGCATAATTTATATTCAAATATTATACTACTTCAAAAACAATTTAAGACCTTCACAACATGTATTACATGTATCCATCCCATCCTTTGTGCTCTTGTTGCAGTATATTTTATTTCTACATGTGCTGTTATAAACTGTACAATATATTATTCATATTTTTGCCTTAAATGGTCACTTTGACAATGCACACACACACACACACACACACACTTCAGTTATCTGGCCAAATGCTTTATCTTCACAGCTATTAATTATAATCTTTTTCAAGTCTTTGTCTGATAACTCCAACATCTGCATCCCAGAATGGTTCTCTTTCTATTGTCTTTTTATCTCTTGGTTTTCAGTCATGTGGTCTTGCCTCTTGATATGCATAATAATTTTGTTGAATAAGACTTTATGTTTTTGTAGAGATAACTTGAGACTCTGAATGATATCAACTTTTTCCAGAGGGAATTTGCTTTTGATTTTGGGAAGTCAGAGCAGGGGCAGATCACCTTTAGCCAGTCTGAGCTCAAGCTGGTTTGTAAGTGGGTTTCAGTCTCCTGTGAGAAGCAGCCTATTTCTGGTGTGCTCCAGGGTCTAGCACAGCTCTCCCGGGCCCCTCACTGGACGTGTCAGGTGCTGACCAGGGCCTCTAGCTTCTGGTGAGCCCTACCTCCAGGTTTTGTTTTCTCCATTCTGTTAAGACTGCCCGAAGTTCCACCTAACTTCTCAGATTCTCGGCTGCCACTTCTCATTCAGATTATAGTCCCTTGGCCCTATACTTCTTTGGAGTTATATTCTTTAAAAAATCAGTACCGTTTTTAAAAACAATACAGAATCTGAGTCTCCTCTCCCCTCTGATCTCTTCACCTCTCACACCGCAGCTGCTTTGGTAGCTTTGAACTCCAGGTTAGGTCTCCCTAGTCTCGTGAGCCTGCTGAAACCCTAAGTCAAGTTCCCAGCCTTTTAGCTAAGGCCTTATGCTTGGCTGTGAAGGCTCTGGGCCTTGTGCTGCTTAGGAGCTGGCCGATACCACAAGGAAAATCTGTGGTGGAGTGTCGGGCTCGGCTGCAGCCACGTCTCCTTGGGTCTTGGCCGCTTTGGCACCTCTTGGGCCCTCATACAGGTAGTTATGTTGCAGGTGTGCTGCATAGATTTTCCAGCTGCTCCAGCAGTGGGAGGGTTGGTCTTCAACCAGCTCCTTCACCATTATCAGAAGCAGAAAGTTCTGGTCTCGACATTTGAAGAATATTTTTTATAGGTTATGGAATACTAGGATAGCCATTATTTGCCTTCAGCATTTTGATGAATTCATCCCACCATCTTCTGACTTTCTTTGTTGCTGCTTGGAAATCAGATGTCAGTCTTAGTGTTGCTCATTTTAAGGTAACGTGTGTTTTTCCCTCTGGTTTTAAAAAGTGTATTTCTTGGGGTGCCTGGGTGGCTCAGTTGGTTG